ACTGTGGTGTCGCGCTCCCCCTGGGGGGGGGGTTGTTTTCTTACTTTTTCTCTCCTCTCTCTCTCTCTCTCTCTGCCTCTCCAGCAAGCACGCACGCTCTATACAAAAATCTATTAAAAAAGAAAAGAAATGAATGTAGGTAAAAGGCCGAACAGTTTACGGTGGTACCAATAAATATACATACTTACTGATAAATAAATATACATATAGGATACATATAGGAATCCCAATCTCAGAGCACACATTGTCAGTACTGTATTAGCAGTAGGAGAAAGAGCAATAAATATACATACTTACTGATAAATAAATATACATATAGGATACATATAGGAATCCCAATCTCAGAGCACACATTGTCAGTACTGTATTAGCAGTAGGAGAAAGATTGTCATAGACCCAAGGTCCAGAACTGACTTTCTTGTCATTAGTTCATAAGAGTAGCCTTTTCATCAATAGACCTAAAAATTGCAGAGCGCTGGATGATAACGTTGGGTTTTCTCTTCTGTCTATCTCGGTAGAATAATTGGCTTCATTACATTCAAGATCTTGGATAGCTTAAGAAAATTCATGAAGAGAGTACGAGTAGTCTTCCCTGTTGGATCTGTCATATTCCTGACCCTTCAGAACTGCTGTTGCTAGCCAGGAACCCATTGAGGGTTGGGTACGGCTTATGTTCAGACACTCGAATGGCCTTTGCTTCTTTCATATGAAGTATACCACACGCAGAGCGTTGTCATTACACATGGAGTAGGCAGAACGGTTCAGCTCATGTTTGATACAGACAGTGACAGGTATTCTTTTTTCATAATCCCCAGAGCTAGGCCCAAGTCCATCTCCTTAGTTTGGGGTGGCTCAGTTGCTTACTTTCTGCATACACCTTTTAACTGTGCACATTTCGAATTGGTACCCACAATCATGTCACCACAGGAAACACTGAATCTTTTCCATTCACAAAGAAACAAAGTAGAACCTTGGCCCCTACGTGATGTGATGACATAGCCTGAGTGTTTGATTCTGGTCAGATTAAATAAATAAAATCAAAATGTCAGCTTGGCTAGATGTAGTTTCCTTACAACGCTTGTGGTGAATACAGTCTTAACAATGATCTATAGAGATCTCCTACATCATACAAAATATGTAATTTCTTCCCTTGCCTGTTGCATTTTATTCTTTTATTATTAGCTTCACATTGATAGGACGTTAGTTAAAATGTCTTACCCTATTTGTGATGAAGGTGTAATGTGCTTTAGTGTTAACAGATAAAATCTAGCTACTATATTCGAATACAAGTAGGCATTTAAATCATGGTCTTAGAGGAAGTCTTTTGCTTCATTCTGTTTCATTTATTTTCATAGTTTTAGATGCTAGTCTCCTAGCCATTCGTCAACACTATGTTAATTAAAAGTAGCAGTGAGAGACCAGCAAGTGGCGTAGTGGTTAAGATGTCTGAATCCCACATGGCTGACAACAGTTCGAGTCCCAGATCTGGTGCTTTAAAAAGCATGCCAGGCACATGTATGTGCATACCCAAAGTCCCAGGAGGAGAATGGAAGAGAAGGGATTGCAGTGTGCCCATCCTCCTCTGCCTCCCTGGGAAGGGGGGTGGTTTCTCACTTCCCCTCTCACTGTCTTTCGCTGGTGAGCGCACACACCCTAAGGCAAATATACTTAAAAAAAAAAAAAAGCAGTAATGATAACTAGATCTGTTTTTCTTTTTGGTTTAGTCACTTTTCTGGAATATTGGGAATACTTCTCAAGAGATGGTCCACTGAAATATTTCTTTACTTTTGAATTCCTGATACATGTTCAAGGAAGAAAAAGTTGAGAATTGCCACTCCAAACTAAATGAAAGATAAAATTAGAGTAATGTGCAGACACTTTACCGATGCACACCTGATTCGTCCTTCCCACTCACCTGCCAAGTGCATAGCAGGGATAAGATGCACCCCACTGCTCCTGCTTCTCCCAGCAGTGTCGGGCTGTGGGGACAGAGCACTGCCTAGATTGCCATGTCTCATGGAGTTCATCCAGTCACAGTGTGCTTAGCCAAGGGGTCACCCATGCACATCACATCTCTTTC